GAAGGTCTTCAACGCTACGGGCCTTTCGAAGGGTAAATAAAAACCGATGTTGGGGTAAATTTGTTTACATCAAATTAAATCACCCTGAAAATGGATGTCGCGAAATATAACACGATTATATATACACTAAACCGGTACATTTAAATTTCTTCGGCACATGAAATTGTATGCATAACAATGCAGTTCGGAGGTTAATCTCCAGGCGTCCACGCCTATGAAGTTTGATGTTATCCGCATCGACAGGTAGGCACACTGGTTATGGACAGGTCTTTGTGCCGGAATTCAATTTTGCTCATCCTGTGTGACCTGTTGTCTGCACTCTCATTGTCATAATGACGTCACGACTGACACTGACGATCAAGTGTCAGTATTATGTCCTCTATTGGCGCATGCTATTAGCGCTGGGTACTCATTAAACACACAATGCATTGCCTTTTTACACGTTTTTGAGGGTAATCAAAGGGTCGTCTGCATTGTAATGTATTCAATGTCGTAACCCTTTGTGATGACGCCAAGTCTAATTTACCGTAAGAGCCTTTACTATTGGAAATCTTTATTTTTCAAATTCTAAAATGCTTACTTTCTAAAAGTCGATCGTCAAATCCTGTTATTGTGAAGCATCCTTAATAAGCGTATATTTTGTTTTGTTTTTTCCGTCGGTTGAGTTTATCATTACAGTTTGTTAAATAGAGGTACTGATGTTTTTCTCGTCCGCCTCTGCAATCTGTACATTTTGCAGTTAATGAATGCTGAGGTGAGGTATTACTAGCGACATTCAGATGACAAACAGTTATGAACAGTCTTACACTTTATTTAAGTATGTATAAGTTATAAGGATGCCTTTTTAATGGCGAAAAGCACCGCAGAATTTTGACGTTTCTCAAATATGTATGCCATTCTCTGATTGATAGCTTTCAATATGGAGAGGTAACCAATAGATTACATGTACTCTGTGGAAATTTGAACATTACAATTTTAACGGAACATGTAGCGTTAAGGTAGAATCTTATGTAGTAGAATTTATGGTAATTTTGAGTTCAGTTAAGCTTGTTATAGAACATCTTTTAAAGCGATAATGAAGGGTTACCTTGTTAAAGGGATAAAAATGCTTCTCTCTGTTTACTTGTTTTGATCAGCGGTATTGTATATTGATGGTGGCACAATGTAGAATGTGCAAGCATCCTGTTTATAATGTCCTTGACAAAAAAAAGACCTGACATAATCAGTTAAGTGTCATCTTAATGTTTCCCTTCTCATTTATAAAATACACACGTGTGTTCGTCCTTATTAATTCCTCAAACACTCGAAATTATGTGTTTACGAACAAAATATAAAAGAGGTTTTTATTTTTTTTTTTCATTCAACGTATTATTGTAACGGGAGCGTTGTTTCCAGTCAAGCTGCTTATTGTCCATTGCATATGTAATAAGTGTTGGCATGTTTTGTCAACATGTGTTTTTATTTTTTATCTTTTAAAGTATTTTTTAACAACAACCTATGAAAGTCAAACTGCTCATCAGAGTATTTCCTAAAATAGTGCAATTTGCCATTAATGTTGATTGTAGACATCCTGTGGCCGCTCTGCAGACTAATTTATGACTTATTTTAGATTGTCACTCATTTGAAGCATGTAGTTTGTTTTATTTCCGGTAATCATGAACCCATATATGATTTTAGATCGTCACAAGAAATATCATTAGCATTTTTTCCGCGTGGACGGAGGTTTATGACGTGTTTTCAACATAATCCCGGACATCTGGCGACGGCGTCAACTTGAGATATGAACATCTGCTTAACAAGCTTGTATAAAGGGGTTACATTCAGCAAACAGACATTTGTTTCTAATACGTAAATACACTATATACAAAAATAAGAAACAAACAAACGTATACCATTATACTGAGTTTTATAATCTAAATATCTCCCTTGGGTTTTCATTAGCAAAATGATAAAATTACGCATTCGCTCTCGTAGCTAAATTACTTGCCATACAAAACCTGAATGAAAAAAAAAACCAGTAACATGGGACAATAGGTGAATTGTGTTTGTTCATACAAATGAAGATTATAAAGTAAGGAAAGCAAAAATGACACCTAGATACTTTGTAAAGAGCCCAGATCACAGAAACGAGAAGACAATTATGACACCTAGAGACTTTGTAGTGAGCCCTGATCACAGAAACGAGAAGGCAATTATGACACCTAGATACTTTGTAAAGAGCCCAGATCACAGAAACGAGAAGGCAATTATGATATCTAGAGACTTTGTAGTGAGCAGCCCTGATCACAGAAACGAGAAGGCAAACATGACTTCTAGAGACTTTGTAGTGAGCCCTGATCACAGAAACGAGAAGGCAATTATGATATCTAGAGACTTTGTAGTGAGCAGCCCTGATCACAGAAACGAGAAGGCAATTATGATATCTAGAGACTTTGTAGTGAGCAGCCCTGATCACAGAAACGAGAAGGCAAACATGACTTCTAGAGACTTTGTAGTGAGCCCTGATCACAGAAACGAGAAGGCAATTATGATATCTAGAGACTTTGTAGTGAGCCCTGATCACAGAAACGAGAAGGCAATTATGATATCTAGAGACTTTGTAGTGAGCAGCCCTGATCACAGAAACGAGAAGGCAAACATGACTTCTAGAGACTTTGTAGTGAGCCCTGATCACAGAAACGAGAAGGCAATTATGATATCTAGAGACTTTGTAGTGAGCAGCCCTGATCACAGAAACGAGAAGGCAAACATGACTTCTAGAGACTTTGTAGTGAGCCCTGATCACAGAAACGAGAAGACAATTATGATATCTAGAGACTTTGTAGTGAGCCCTGATCACAGAAACGAGAAGGCAATTATGATATCTAGAGACTGTGTAGTGAGCAGCCCTGATCACAGAAACGAGAAGGCAATTATGATATCTAGAGACTTTGTAGTGAGCCCAGATCACAGAAACGAGAAGGCAATTATGATATCTAGAGACTTTGTAGTGAGCAGCCCTGATCACAGAAACGAGAAGGCAATTATGATATCTAGAGACTTTGTAGTGAGCAGCCCTGATCACAGAAACGAGAAGACAATTATGATATCTAGAGACTTTGTAGTGAGCAGCCCTGATCACAGAAACGAGAAGGCAATTATGATATCTAGAGACTTTGTAGTGAGCCCAGATCAAAGACAGCAGAAAATAAAAAAGGTGTAACCAGACATCATTTAAGAAACAAACAAAACCTCAAGGGGCGTTCAACAGTGTATTTTTTTTACAGCCTTAGAAAGTGAAAACGTTTTAAATCCTTGAAACGAGGTGTGGTGTCTGCACACGTTCATTAATCAACATTTTCATATTATTGAAATACTTTTTATTTAATTCGTTGCTATTTGACTGATGCGTTTGTTGATAAAAGCAAATCGAGAAATGGTATAGTGTTCGTCTGTTGCCTTATTCCTTTAGCTATAATATCATTGAATTACAATATTTGAAAGGAAATGTAACGATATTAGTACACAAGGAAATCAAAACAGTAATGGAAACATGGTCATTCACCTTCTCGGTTAATGTGCGAAAACTACATCACAGACATATGTAAATCTGTCTTTCTGTCTAACTATACACTACCTTAGCTTAACATGGGTGATATGATGATGCACGATGTCAGTTTCCGAATTAATGCGCCATGTGCATTTGTAATGTGTATGTGATGTATAACACTACCACACCGGAAATAACAATGGTTATGATCGTTATAGAAATGCTTTACATTAGTTGTATGGAACAAATGTGATAGACACTTTAGACAATTACGTTCCCTTAAAGCCCCATAAAACGCCAATGTTATTGTTATGATTGTGCAATCGTCCTCAAAAGAATGGCAGGACAGTCAACCCCACTTGAAGAAGTGCTATCTCCCTCTAAAGAGTGGCAGGACATTCACCCCTATTGATAAAAGTGCACTCCTGCTAAAATAATAACAGGAGATTCAGCCCAATTTAACTGCAGATGTTGTATACACAAATTATACTTATGCTGTAGAATAAAACTGTTTGGTGGCTCGTGCTGTAACTTAAGAACGAATTCAGGTGAAGACAATTAAATGCATCAGAAAGCTAAAGGGATGAAAATTCACTTTGACAATTTTGCAGTTGTGTTTACACTTTCGTTCATTCTCACAATAAGGAGCTGGTGTCAAGACTCTTTACTTGATAATAAAAACAGCTAAAAGCTGTTGTCGATCGCTGTTCGTATTAAAGATAAACATCTTCTATCATATATGGATTTCTTTGTTTATTTCTTACCAATGTATGGAATGATGTAAGTTACCTAGGTTGTTAATCTTGTTTTAAATTACTGCAAGCTGAATAACTTGATTTCGCCGATGCACACTAACTAACAAGCCGTAATGAAATAGAAAAAAATAAGAAGTTTTGTGTTCGGCTGGCGGTGTGTGAAGATTGTGAAAACGACACAAAAATGACGAGCACTTTGTTATTCAAATTTAATGTTTGATAGAGTAGTTAATGCATCATACAGCTGTTATGTAATTCAATAAATTTTGTAATTTTTGATAACTTAAGAACAACGTCAAGTGCATGTGTATATTTTGAACCGTGCCACCATTAAAATCAATCAAAACGTGACATGCAAGTTACGGCAAACCTCGGGGACTTAACGTCAAACATCGGTGTCGAGATCACACAAGTGAATATCATCTTTTTTGTGGTATTTCTTTATGTGTTGCACTTGAACTATCATCTTAGGAACTATATCGGTAGCTCAGTAATACTTAATTGAATGGTACTTTTAAAAATGCATTTTATTTTTAAACCACCAATCATCAGTGTGTATGATAAAATATATTTCGTTTTTCAAGTCGAAATTTCCATCTTGCTTTTACATCTATTTTTACACATATCGACCTTATCTTCAACTAATTTAATAGTTTATAGAATTCTATTCAGAATGGTATGATGCCCTTTTTTATTTGAGTTTTTATGTGTTACAGGCAATGTGTCCGAAAAAGATGTCTTATCCTTCACCATTGACGTCACAAACAACCCAGGTCCTCTTGAAGCTCTGAGTGCGCATCTATGGATCTTGATGCGCAAACGCAAGCGGAAGAATAATCGCGGAAAAAAGATTTTCTTGGAGGTATTAAGAAAAGACGATGACGACACGGGTCACGAAGTGTTAACAAGCTTGATCACACGTGTCAAGAAAACAAGATGGCAGAAAGTTAGTCTGCCTGTCACTTTTATACAGTCACTTTTAGATTCCAACAAACGTAGACTACAACTAAGAATTAGATGTAGGAGATGTGGCAAAGTAGTGCGTCCAGTTTTATTTAGAAAACATAAAAATCTCAAAAGAAAATCACAAAAACTGTCTGTGCCAAAGGTGAGAAAACGATCGCGACAAAAGCGGAAGTTACGGAAGTTACATCGGAGAACACGTAAACGCGAACGACGTACTCGACCATTCCTGGTAATTAACACAAGATATAAACTTACATTATCTACAAGAAGGGGATTGAATTAATGTCCGATTCGCTTGGCCGACAAACTAAGTATATGTAACTGCGATCTATCGCAATGGACTGCGATATATACATGTAGCAATATAATAACGGCGTGTGGTATCATGACACAACTGTTCTACAATTGCGATCTAAAGCAATACAACTGCGATTTATCGGAGTCGTACAGATCCAATGTACATATACCTAAATATTCCAATGTGATGACATCAAGGAGGAGCGGATAAGCTTGTTTATACTTTGGTAAGGCTAAAGTTCTGTAAGCGCCTTTAGTTTTGGGTTGTGTGCGCTCTTCATATGCAATGCTAAAGTCGCGTCTTGAGTATATAACGTGTTAACAATAACTAATTCAACACATAAGTTATTATGCCATAGGGTGATTCGTATGGGGGATATCATTTACTTCATGTACACGGTATATGGTGATAAACATTTCATATGCAACACCCCATGTCTTTATACAATACATTCTGGCTTACGAAAGAAATTATTAAGAAATGTTTGCTGTGAAAATTCAAAAGCATAGTTTCTAGGTTATTTGCACTAACGTGTAAGACAATTCCAATTGTGAAAATGGTGCGTTGATGGTGCTGACCTTTATACTTCATATACAAAACTGGGTCATCAATACAGGACATCAGAGTTACATACAGATGTAACACAAGGCGTCTTTGTTATAGACGCTTGTAACACGGAGACATATGTGTTATACAAATGTGTGACACGTGATTATCTTTGACATAAACCCGTGTAACACATGTTCATCTTTGTTATAAACACGTGTAATACATTATCATCTTTGTCATAAACACATGTAACACAAGATCAGATCAACATTGTTTGAAAAATAGGTGAGTCATTGTTTTACGGTCAGCGTAGAGGTGTGTCTCTTACAGGATATATACATTATCGAACAGATTCTTAACATATATGTCGTATCCTGAAGATACTTACAGACTAAATAGCGCATCTCGATGATTCTTAAAGACTAAATAGCGTATCTCGATGATTCTTACAGACTAAATAGCGTATCTAGATGATTCTTACAGACTAAATAGCGTATCTAGATGATTCTTACAGACTAAATAGCGTATCTAGATGATTCTTACAGACTAAAGAGCGTATCTAGATGATTCTTACAGACTAAAGGGCGTATCTCGATGATTCTTACAGACTAAATAGCGTATCTCGATGATTCTTACAGACTAAATAGCGTATCTCGATGATTCTTACAGACTAAATAGCGTATCTAGATGATTCTTACAGACTAAATAGCGTATCTCGATGATTCTTACAGACTAAATAGCGTATCTAGATGATTCTTACAGACTAAATAGCGTATCTCGATGATTCTTACAGACTAAATAGCGTATCTAGATGATTCTTACAGACTAAAGAGCGTATCTCAATGATTCTTACAGACTAAATAGCGTATCTAGATGATTCTTACAGACTAAAGAGCGTATCTAGATGATTCTTACAGACTAAATAGCGTATCTCGATGATTCTTACAGACTAAAGAGCGTATCTCGATGATTCTTACAGACTAAATAGCGTATCTCGATGATTCTTACAGACTAAATAGCGTATCTAGATGATTCTTACAGACTAAAGAGCGTATCTAGATGATTCTTACAGACTAAAGAGCGTATCTCGATGATTCTTACAGACTAAATAGCGTATCTCGATGATTCTTACAGACTAAATAGCGTATCTAGATGATTCTTACAGACTAAAGAGCGTATCTCAATGATTCTTACGGACTAAAGAGCGTATCTCGATGATTCTTACAGACTAAAGAGCGTATCTAGATGATTCTTACAGACTAAATAGCGTATTTGGATGATTCTTACAGACTAAAGAGCGTATCTCAATGATTCTTACTAAATAGCGACTAAAGAGCGTATCTCGATGATTCTTACAGACTAAAGAGCGTATCTAGATGATTCTTACAGACTAAATAGCGTATTTGGATGATTCTTACAGACTAAAGAGCGTATCTCAATGATTCTTACGGACTAAAGAGCGTATCTCGATGATTCTTACAGACTAAAGAGCGTATCTCAATGATTCTTACAGACTAAAGAGCGTATCTCGATGATTCTTACAGACTAAATAGCGTATCTAGATGATTCTTACAGACTAAAGAGCGTATCTAGATGATTCTTACAGACTAAATAGCGTATTTGGATGATTCTTACAGCCTAAAGAGCGTATCTCAATGATTCTTACGGACTAAAGAGCGTATCTAGATGATTCTTACAGACTAAAGAGCGTATCTCGATGATTCTTACAGACTAAATAGCGTATCTCGATGATTCTTACAGACTAAAGAGCGTATCTAGATGATTCTTACAGACTAAAGAGCGTATCTAGATGACTCTTACAGACTAAAGAGCGTATCTCGATGATTCTTACAGACTAAATAGCGTATCTAGATGATTCTTACAGACTAAAGAGCGTATCTCGATGATTCTTACAGACTAAATAGCGTATCTAGATGTTTCTTACAGACTAAATAGCGTATCTAGATGATTTCTCTAACCTAAAATATATAAAATGACTGCTGCAAAATATTTCGGGTAATTGATTTGTAAATATTTTTTTTTCATTTTCAAAAACCGTTGTCACCAAGAGACAAACAACTCAAATTTAAATCTGAATCAAGTCCTGAACAACTTTGCGGGGAGTATTTCTTTGGTAGTCCATGACCTGACGTTATCCAAACCTGGATATTTCCCGGTGTTATTCACTATCCATGCAAATTAGTTTACGGTGTAAGAATTGTAATGATGTCTGTTTTTGCATGTGTGATTTACCTACATCCAGTCTCAGGTTGTTTTACTAAACTGATTTCTACCTTGTCATTTCTTCGCTCTCAACACACAACATTTTAGCATAATATGTGTTTGATTAGTCTACATACAGGATCCTGTAGGTTGAACTTTTAAACTAATTAATTCCTTGTTATAGATACTCGTATTTTGTGTCTTTTTTATACCGGTGAAAATAACATACCGAAATTATTATTTGCGGATGTATATTAAATTATAGATAATATATTCATGCATTCAAGCGACCGAATCACACTAAAACGACAAGTTACCGAAATACCATTATATGATATTGCTCAGTTATAGATTTATCTCGCGTATGTATATATATATATGTTTCTTTTACCATCGAACCCGGTTATTTTATTTTGATCAACTTTAGCTGGCGGACCTGCCGATAATTAAACTTTTCTATCATTCCTTCGTTTAAATTTTTTTGACCTTACATTCTTCTTTTTTTTTCATTAAAACACACTGGATTATCATGTATGGACTCATATCGATATAATTTTTCAAGATTCTGCAAATAATTTATTTTCCTGTATACTTATTTTCGCGAATCCTTTTAAAACGATATTTACAAATGTATGTTAGGAATAAGTTCACAAATATTTGTATATAGAGAGGTTTTATTGCTTACTATTAGATATAACAATTGTCTACAAAGTAGGGGCATGTTACTCAAAATATTTTTGCGTCATTGCTGAATCCATATCAATGTGTTTAGCTGAATGCCTGGTTTGAATTTGGATCACGAAGATTAACTGACGTTATACCCAAACCCAGTGTCATCAATAAAAGACTGGTTTTTAAAATCTTGCCAAATATGAATATTTTAAATTAAAACGTGATCTTCCAATGTTTGTTATGATAAAAGCATAGTTAAGTTACAGCCTGTACGTTCAGAAAAAACTTCTTTCCTTTTGCTACCGAATGCATTATTATTACTATTATTATTTGTAAGTATTTTGATCGTTTTTCTAAACTGTAAACAGGTCATTTCACCAATTTAGTCCATTTTGATTATAAGACGTACATACCGACTTTGATGAAGAGTTATAGTCATGCTTTACCTAGGAGTTTGCTTAAAGAGTACCGCAACATTGAATTGATTTTCATGAAATTTTGTTTCAAGTCATTAAATTCTGTTCATCAGAGAATTAATTGCCTCGCATTATGAAAAGAGGCGGTCTGTTAAATTTATTTTCATTATTTCAAATGTATATTATAGACAAGAACCTGCCATATTACTTCAAGCTCAATTTGGTAACTGAACTTTTCTTGTATTCTACCGAGTATACATGTGACAGGCGACGCTCCACCCATTGGTAACTTACATGTTAGTACAGATCAGTATATACGATTTCAGCTATTCATATATATTGTTAATGTTCCTTGGTGTGACTCGACATTGTGGGAGTTTTCAAAATCCCGGCTGTTATTATGAATTATTTCTTTGAATTATTTGTTATTTCCATATTTCAAATGTTGACATTGATAGTTTTTTTTCATGAATGATAGTGATGAGCACTTATTGACGAAAGCAAATGAAAGAATGTGTATATATTATATTGATAGATAAACGATTCAAAAATATTTGGGGTATGATGTGGTGTTTTTCTCTGTACTGAAATCGTTTTATCGTATCTTATATGTCGTGTAAATGTCTTCGTCATCTTTCTCTAATAGATCAACATTATTATTTATGTACATTTTGTATGTCTGGATCGCCATTATGATACAAATTGTTGTACAAATAATTTACGTATATTTGTAAAATAAGTTCGTGATCATTTTACCAAAGATATAATTTGATTTTCAAAATAAAGGAATGATAATGTGCTACTGTTATTTAAGCTGGATAATCTGTATTGTTATTGCACTGTCAAGCACTGATTGGATGATTGTGTATGTTGTACCATATCAAGGATAGTTTTCTTAAGATATTCATCGAGACTCTACCAATAAGGGTTTTAGAGAAGGCCTTGAACAAAAATAAGGAAATAATTTTTCTTCGTGGAAACACAGATGTGGATTTATTTGTGAATTAAGGTGATTTTATTTAGATGTTTGTTATGAATAATTGGCACCATGCTAGCTCTGAAATAAAAAGATCAAAATCATTATGTATTTTGTCTATTTAAAATTTCAGACAGTTATTTTAGAAA